TATATAGATATTGTAAATATTTACTCAATGGGAATTAAATTATTAAACAAAATTATAAACGTTAAAACATTTAAAAGAAATTTAGTAAGATTGTATTTTGTATTTGAAGGTATATGTAGTATTTCGCTGTCGTATTTAGACTATATTACCAATGTTGTATAATGATACATATGAAGATTGTAAATCTAGTTAAAACTTAACATACAGTATATCAATATGAATTCAAACTTACGGCCATCACATCACTTCCCATGGCACACACTAGACTTAATGTCAAAAGAATTCCAATTAAGTAAATAATTTGAAGATTGACCATTTTTTCCATATTAGTTCTTTTGGTGGGAGTTGCACTAATAGATAAAAAGTAAATTAGATACCAAATGAATTAATTTACAATACAGCAACAATACAAACGTAGTATTTTTCATGAGTTTTGTTTCATGGCCTGTAAAAATAACGATGCCATAAATCCATGAAATGCTCTTTAACCGAGTACCCTATAGTTAAAATTTAAGAAAAATTAATACCATATAGAGATCAAAAAAATAATATAGAGTAATTTTGTAGTGGATCTATGTACACACTCTAATGAGCAATTGAGTTTGATCCAAAGGAATTTTTTTTTCTCCATTATGAGTATTTGTTATAAGTAAACCTTCATATATATATAGACTATCATTAGGTTGCTCAGATTTAATATATCCAGTGAAACGGCTAGTTTCTATAGGAGATCTTAATCGTGATGTTTCATTTACAGCTTGCTTGATCTTTAGATTTGTTTCTCTAAAATAAAAGTTTTTTTTTAAAATGAGAAAAGGGGTACTAACATAAAGTAATCATTGCAAGCTATGAGTAAAACATGACTACTATAATTTTGTTTGCAAGTTTTATTAAGATCATCAATATTTTAATAAACTAACCCGTCTAAATTACTTGTATCTATGTAACATAAACTCTCAGGCTCTGAACTGCTGAGTAATGTTAAATCAGCAGGGAAAAATTCACCGTCTTCAACACGAATAATATCACCAACGTTTATTTGATTCCATTCCTTTACTATATATACTTCATGCTCAAGATTAAGATATTTACATTTTCTTTGATTGACCTTTAAATCAGAAAGGTGCCGTTTCTTAACGGATAAAAAAAAAAAATTATAAAACGACCACTTTTCCAAAGGACAGAATCATGAAACTTTCTACTTACATAGTCTTCAATGGTTTCTTTAAAAGCTATACCGATCAACATGATTATTAAACTAACAAATGTGCCGTATTGACCCGTTGGTGATACGTCTTTAATTTGCTATTAATTAATAGATAAGTTTAGATCAATCAATTAAAAATGTTCTAAAATGTTTAAAATATAAAATATACAAAATTTCCCCGACAATGTTTTATTTTATTAGCAACTTTGCCGACAGTCCTAGTCCCATTAAATAAAGAAATTTTCATATTCTTAAATCTACTTCAAATACAAATCTTACTTTACATGCCGATAAGTAGACTGTCAGCTAGCTTCTTTTCAATAAAATGTGTCATCGGAGAAATATATATATAGGTCCCATTATATTATCTCGATCCCAATGTCAATTATTGCAGTTTTTGATTAAATTGATTGATGAATTAAGAAATTTTGAATCCAGTATAAGTGCAATAGTTATTTTAAATTTGCCATATTTTGTGGAATTCAATGAATTTGTTTTTTATTTTTTTTTTACATATGTTCAGCCCGTCCTGATCTTAGTAAGACGGGATAATTATTCATAATTATTTACTATTCGGGTTTTTCAAAGGTCATTTCCCTTGGTAGCACTTAGCACCGGAAATCAATTTAATATAAGGGAGAAGGGGGTGTTAAAATGTTTTTTCGTAGCCCGTGATACATTTATCAAAATTGAACAATTTTAGTTTCTTCTGATTTGTATTATCGAGCCGAGTTGAATGATACCAAAATCATTCGTTTCTGATCACTGTTTAAAAAATATTTTGATTTTAAAAAACCAAATAAGAAAGTTTTAGTCTTGGGGTATTGTGACGAATTGGGAATATCTCATAATACTACGATCAGAATCGGATGAAATTTGTACTATTCGATTCCTCTTATTGAGAGGATTCAAATAGTACAACATTTACCGATTCTGATCGCGGGATGAGATATCTCGATTCATCATAATATTATTAGCTATAGTATTGTGACGAAGGGGTATTATGACGAATTGGGATATCTGTGACCCCATTATCAGAATCGGATGAAATTTGCACCATTCGATTCCTCTCGCCAAGAGGAATCGAATGGTGCAAATTTCACCCAATTCTGATCATGGGATCACAATCCATCACAATACCCCCCAACAGGAGGGAACGTCGATGTTACACGATTGATCCTTCACCTGGTGTGTAACGTATAAAAAAATTATTTTAAAATACCAGATCATTCCGCTAGTACATATTATGATTATAATCCAACACCATTTTTATTATAATAAAATGGTGTTGGATTATAATCATAACATGTACTAGCGGAATGATCTGGTATTGTAAAATAATTTTTTTATATGTTGCACACCGGGTGAAGGATCATCGTGTAACATCGACGCTCCCTCCTGTTCAATACCCCCTTATCACTTCCATGCTTATTTAGAAATTTATTGCACGGGTCTTATGTGACAACCCGTGCTTTTTTCATTTGGTTATTGCACGGGATTGTTACGTCAGACACCGTGCAATAAGATAGTTATTGTATGGGTATATTGAATAACCCAGTTACACACACGGGTTCATATCCGTGGCCGAAGGCCATGGATTTAAATATGAACCCGTGTGTAACTAGGTTATTCACCACATACCCATACAATAACTATAATTTATGCTAGAACAAAACGAATTTCCACTAAATATGAAATTTTAGTTAACTGCCTATATCGATATTGTAATCACAAGACTCCGAAATGTTATAAAATCTATCAATCAATCCAACTTATCTGAAAACAGCAATAATGTCAGATTATTTGTTTTTTTAACTATACCTGAATACAAGCTAAATATTACATTTGAGAAATTAAACTAAAATTCAAGAATTTTTTTTAAAATAAGCATCAATTAGAGTTTGGAACCGGTTTTATGTTTCATATGTTAAAATCGATTAAAACGAAAAATAAAATCGGTTCCAAACTCTAATGGCATCAATAATCTATTACCTATGAACAGAAAGAACAGATTTGGATATTTTTTCGAAAATTGTCCATATAAAAATTTTGGTAAAAACGTGAAAAAATTATATTTAGTAGTTGAAATTCTATTATGAAGAAAATTTTGTTGCAAGTTTTTCATTGGTTCATTAATATATGGGGGGGAGTCAGTAGAAATGGGACAAATTTTTTCTAAGTAAAAATTTTCTTAACTTTAAATTTAAATATCTTGTCAACTATCTTATTAAATCTAATAATTTTTTTTTTTATTTTAATTCTAGATAATTCTAAGATTAAAATAAAAAAAAATTTATTAAAATTGATTAAGTAGTTGTCAAGAAATTGTAATTTAAAAATTAAAAAAAATTTACTAAAAATGATTTGTCCCATTTCTACTGACTCCCCCCCATATATTATTCGTTCTCCGCTAACGTCAGAAATAAGAGGAAGGTTTGCATCATAATATGTGGGCATGTTAGCAGTCTGACGCGTATATAGGTCCACTTCTTCGTCATCTTCAACATAATCGTTGGAGTCGGAAATTTCGACGGTTGCAGAGTCGCCGAAAGGGTTAAGAGGTTTTGAAGATCGTTTTTCAGAAGAAAATTGCCACTGAAAGTTCCAGACATTCTGCGTTATTACAAAAATTGTTCTTTATATTCATGGATTAAAATAAAATTAAGAAAAATTTTGTATTGATTTAAAACAAGCTTTAGATAAATTCAGATCATAAATATTACCCGTTTTTAAATTAATAAAATTAAATCAGATAAAACTATTGAATATATCAGACTACAATAGTTATATACTGATACTACTATTAATATTAACTCGTGTTGGAATTTGTACTTTTATGATAAGATTCCTAAAGGACTCTAAAAAGCAAGTGAAATATTAAAAAGACGATGGTTATATTAGTCTATACTTGCAATTTTATCTGTCATGTAGCTATTTAGTAGTAATAAGATCAATGGTAATAAGATCAGTCAATAATAATTGATATAACGAAGGGAAGCTTTCTGGATTTATATATATATATTTTTAATTCAAGTTATCCAGTAGCGATAGTCATGAACTCGATTTTGCATGATAATCTGTTTCCCCCAACGTGACTTAATCCTAACTCTAAAGATTGTTTACACTTGATCTTTCGATCTAATTGGATAAAAATCACGTGGGGAGAATTTTTTTGTGGGAGAGCTACCAACTATTATCTACTACGTACGTACGTATAATCCGTACGTACGTACCTATCTGCTATGTACATGAAGAGCTATTTCTATATTAAGCAACTTAACAGATCGTTATTGCGAAATAATATCGTAAAACTTGTGTGAGGATGGTCATTGAACTTTTAAATGTTTTAACGTTTATAATTTTGTTTAATAATTTAATTCCCATTGAGTAAATATTTACAATATCTATATA